ATACTACCTAAAGGAAATATTATAATAATAAAGGTGTTAAATAAAATGTAATTTATTCGATGAATTATTTTTTTCAAGTACCTATCCAAAATATTACTATTTTTCAGGTTCAAATATTGTAATTCAACAACAACCTACCATAACCAAGCAAGAAATTCAAGACTTTTTTACACCAGCTGAATACATTTACGATTATGATGGTAAATATATTATTCATAACTTTATATATATATATATATATATAATACATATTATATAACTTACTTAGCTAATTATAAATATATTAGGTACTTTATAAAAAATAGAACACTTCATGTACAATTATTACTTTATCGCTGAATTAAAATAAATATTACTTTATAAAAATATAAAATATAAAAATATACTAAGTCGTATAAAATCATAGAAATGTACACAAAATCGTGATAAATCCTATAATCATCATAGTTAACCCGTTAAGATCATATTATGTATATATATCTTATAAATGTTCGTAAAATTGTTCAATAATTTTGATAAATACATGTAATAATATATTATTTGAAAATATTTCCATACGATTAATGTCATAACGTTATTAAAAACATACATAAATAATTTTAATTTATTATATATTATATTTTTAAGTATAAACAGATATTTTAATAAATATATCTGATCATTTTATACATATATAATAATACAATATGAATATTTTATTTTTCTATGAAAAACATATACACATTTAATATAATACCAATAAAAACATAAATAGGCAGACCTTTTTATATAAATATCTTAATAAACTATTATGAACGCCAGTGTATATACATCTTACCTTTACTATTATTTAATGCTACACAAAAGAACGTTGTGTATTATTACTATAGCTGAGAGCTCTATATCATATTTGTTTTTGCTTTTACATATATAATATATACATGTGTGTAATACTAGAGCTTGATACCTACCTCTTTTTGTATATTTTTAAAAATCGTATTTTCTATATGATAAACACATCACTAACATTTTTTTTAAATTCTTAATTTTGCTTCAGGTACTTTTACTAAAAAACCGTTTATATTTATAAAAACAATTTATCTTTTCTATCCCATTAAAAACTTTTTTAGATTTTCAAGCTGTAACACGCGTTCATATAATGTTTAGCAATACAATAGTAAAATTATTTTTTTCAGTTCAATCTCGCAATGGTAATAAGCGTCCATATCATACTGAAAATTCGAACGAAGCAGCAAATGCTAAAAAGACACGCATGAGCATCGTCAAGACACGAGGATTCATTAAGACAGGCACATCGTTATCGAATAAAATCAATTGGTATTACGTGAAAAATACAGATAATTTGACCACCTACAGAACATTTTTAGAATCAATAAAAAAAGACTTAATAGAACTACTCAAATCACTATCAACAAAACAACCAATTAAATATAATCTTAAATTAGAAGCAACATATGAACGCCCGAACGTGGAAAATTCAGCAGAGAATAGAGCATTTAAGACCTCAGCTAAGGAATTGTTTATAGATACAGATATCGAAGCTAAAATTAATCAAGATTTTGCAAATCTTTTGTTAGAAGAAGAAATTTATACTTCTAAAGGAAGTGGTTTTACGTTACAATCAATAGATGGTTTACTGTTAGGAGTATATAATTATACACCTATGTGTGGTTCGTCTTATATTACACTTCCAGAGGACATTAAAAATAAAAAAGCAATTATCAATCCCCAAAACTCGGACCAACTCGGAGCCAACTCGGCTTCAAGTGGGCAATCCTAGCAAGACACGTTTCGGGCAATGCCAAAAATCAAGTGGCTGAAAATTATACATCGCTCGAGGACAATTATAATTTTTCTGGTTTAACATTCCCAACACCTGTGAGGGAAATAAAAACATTTGAAAAAAATAATCCGAAAATATCAGTCAACGTTTATGGATTAAAAAAAGAAAAGAATAAGAAACATATTGTTTATCCACTTAAGGTTTAGGATGTAGAAAAAAAATATCATTCTGATCTCTTACTAATTACTGATGGTAATAAAAGCCACTACACCTACATTTCTAACCTTTCGAGACTTGTGAGATCACAAAAAACATCACACACCGAAAATGTTGTATTTTGCAAACGATGTTTTACCAGTTTTGACAATATACATACAAAATATAAGTTAAAAGGTCAGGCGGGGCTTGAACAACATAAGTTGATATGTGGAGCACATAAGCCAATTCTACCTAAGATGCCTGAGCCAGGTACATTATTGCAGTTCGATGCGTGGAGTAACGCTCAAAGACATCCATTCGCTATATATGCCGATTTCGAGGCACTCCTTGTTAAATGTGACGAAATAAAAGGCAAGAAAACAGCAGCTTTTCAAAAGCACGAGCCAATGAGCTATGGAGTTTTCGTAAAGGCTTCAGAAAGCGTCCCCGTTGATTTGCTTGAGAAATATGAGATACCAACATCAACTATTATTCATCGCGGAAGCGAGTCACACCAGGATGTAGCCAAACGTTTCGTTAATGAAGTGACAGAGATCGCGAGAAGAGTTCAAGATTTACTTAAAACAAATAAACCCATCATAATGACAGAAGAAGAGCAAATAGCACATGTATCGAAAAGTACATGCAATCTATGTGAATGTAATTTTTCTAACAAAAACCAAAAGGTGGCAGATCACTGCCATCTATCAGGAAAATTTAGACAAACTTTATGCAATACTTGCAACTGTTGTAAACGGGTAACATGATAAGTATGAATGGGTTGACTCAGTCTAGTGGCGAGTAGTGCGTGTATGAGAACTGTCTGGTTCTCACGGACGCCTACGCGACGTCTACGAGACGCTGAGCGAACACATTCCGAAAGGCTCGGGACAGACCATGGGGCCAGCCCCGCCAGCTAGAGTCAGTCGAGTCTGGTCAAAAGAGTGAGTAACACACGTGTTACTAAGCAGAGCATCCTTTATAGTTTATTACAGAGCCTCATATAATTTTTATCAGAACCTCTCATAATAATAGTTTTTTTATTATATATATCAGTTCTTCAATATTTAATTTATTAAATCAGTAATAGTTTTATCATTATATACATTAATTCTTTAGTGTTCAATACAATAAATCGGTAATCTTATTTATAAGCAAACTGTGTGTTATTTTATTTGATGCCAACACCTACGGTTTTACATCATTCGACGGTGGACCACACTTCATTGGTGGCAGCGGTGGGATCTCTAAAAGGGAAAAATTGTCGCAATTCATTTTGCGACAGTGCAATTTTGGAGATCGCTAAAGAACTTATGTGAACTACCGCCGTCTGGGTTCAACTGGTTTTGGTGTCAGAAAATCACAAGGAAAAAAAAAAAAAAAAAAACGGTACGGAAAATCTATACAATAATTCGTTCAGTATTTGGAAGCACGGGTGTCCACCAGAGGTATATATAGCGCACATATTATATATAATATAGTTTAATATATTGTCATTTTGATATTAAACACACCGCCGCCGGCATTGTCGTAGCGGCGTGTCATATTATACGTCCGGTCGATTTGGTGTAATATATAAATATATACGTGGGCGTATTTTATATACATCTATATACTTTATATCAACGGACGAGCGCGTCGGCATCATCGTCCCGCGCCGCCGTCTAGGCAACCCGTTCACGTTGTTCATACGATTTATAAAATAGTGTTAATTCGTTCAATACGCGGCGCCATTATATTCGTGGTTGAGTGTCGTATATAATATTCTTAATATCATACGCGCCGCCGCCGGTACGTAGTAGCTGTGAAACAGCGCTCCGCACACACCGACAAAGACGACCTTTGTCGTCGTCGTCGCCATCGTCGCCGTCGTCGCCGCCGCCGCCGCCGGGACAACCTGTTACTACGTCACAATAAGAGACAGCGCTCCGAGCACATTTACGGGGAGATTTCGGTCGCCTTCGTCGTCGTTGCCGCCGCCGTGTTACACAGTGTCACCGTCAGGGAGGAGTCTTCGTTCCAGTACGCGCCGTCGCCGCACAAGTAGGGGCAAAGTCAACGTCGCCAGGCAGTGGGTCAACGTCGCCGAGCAGTGGGTCAGTGGAGCAATTCAATTATATTCACGCGGTAAACAATAACAATCGAGTATCAACACCATCATAATGCAACAGTATTTACTATACATCGTTTCGTAAGTTTTTATTTATAATTACTTGGGGCAATTAAATTATCTGGTACTTATTTCTTTAGTATAATAATTATTATTAGTATTCTTTTTCAAGTTATCTAGTATTGCAAGGATTGTCTTGCTAATTTTTCAAAAAGGGAGTTAATCCTAATTTAGTGGGATTTATTAATGTATTGGAATATTCTATTGTTGGGATTTTCTTTAAAAAAAAAAAATAATAATTAGCTTCAGTTTATTTAATTTATCTATCTAATAATCGGGCCTTTTAGCTAGTGCATGTCGAACTCAGGGTCAAATGATGGCATTGGTGGAGATTTAATAGATTTGGACAGCTTTAGTAGTGGGTCGTCTAGTGGAGAATTGTATGTACCAATTAGTGGTGTCCTACGAAGGGCAGGGGATACAATAGACCGAACGGACGAACTGTTAGGGTCAACTAGGTATTTACTAAGAAGTCAAAGGACCAAGCCACACACAGAACCTCAACCAATCCAACATTCAGAGCATACAGAAAATCAACAAAATTCAGAGCCTCCAGAGCATCAACAAAACACAGAGAATCCAGAAAATCAACAACTTTCAGAACTTTCAGAAAATCAAAAATACTCAGAACCTCCAGAGCATCAACAAAACACAGAGAATCCAGAAAATCAACAACTTTCAGAACTCTCAGAAAATCAACAATACTCAGAACTTCCAGAGCAACGTGGCATTTCAAGAAATCCGAATAGTTCCAGAGATTCTGAAAATCTAAGGCAGAAAGTCAGCTCAAGTCCTCTGGGCTCGAGACTAAATTTACAGGACTCAACAATAACACAAGTTTACGGGAAAATGGACGGTACTCAAGCATCAGTATCAACAGATGATTCAAGCCAAGTGGGCTCAGGACCAAATGTCAATAGATCCTCTACGAGCGTAGAACAAGCACTCAGGTTACTACCAGTTTTCGATGGGACAAGTTCAGAAGAAGTACATCGATTTCTTAGGGCATGTGATTTTGCAGTCAGAATCATTGACCCAGGACAAATCAGCTTATTGGTGCAAGGGATGACTGTTAAATTGTCCGGGAGAGCGTTACGGGCAATCAGGTATAAAGAAATCGAGACTTATCGGGATTTCCGGAAAGCGATCGTCGAAATGTCAGACAAGAAGAAATTGCTACCACAATTACAGATGAAGATGCTCACATGCAAAATGAGTTCAGGTGAAGGGGTACAAGATTATCATGATAAGATGGAGCAACTCATGCACGATTTAATCGATGCAGCCATGGAAAGTGGAGACTACATAAATGGGGAGGATATTGATAAGCTATTGCGCAATCAGATACTCAACGCGTTTATAAGTGGGATGCCAGAATCGTATCGAATTCTCCTTAAAGCTAGAGGTCCCAAGAACCTCAGGGAAGCTTTGGCATATGCACTAGAGGAGGAAACGGAAGAAAACCTTGCCAAAGAAACTCAGCAACTATTCAGTAATAAAAAAAACTCGAAGGATCAACAGTCTCAGCCCTCAAAAGCAAATCATACCGTGTTCAAGCAGAAGGACAGTGGCAAAAGCAGCAGCATTAGTAAGGGATGTTTTAAGTGTGGGCGAACTAACCATTTTGCCAGGGAATGCAGAGCGTCGTCATGGGATCAGGAGAGATTCAAATCCAGTCAGCAGAATGGGCAGCAAAATAACTCGAAAACTCCCACAAAAGCAGTATTAGTTTGCAGATATTGTAAAAAGGAAGGACATGAATTAGAAGTATGCCGAAAAAGACAATATGTAAATAGTAAAAGACAACAGGGTGGAAAAGAAGCTTCAACAGAACAACAAAATGCGGGAAACGGAGGGGAACCGAATCCGAGCAGCGCACGATCGGTTCAGCAAATCCAGAGCGCTGTATTGAGTCTGCAGCGACCTTCCACTTCTCAGCAAGACTTGTAAATAATTCCACGTGTCTCAAAATTAAACAGTGTATTCAAGAAAATGTAAGATTGATAGTCGATACCGGGAGTGATGTAAATATTATCAAACTATCAGAACTAAGGAAGGATTTATTGGTGGATGAGAACATAATATATGAGCTAAAGGGTATTAATTCTCAACCAGTGTACACCATAGGATCAGTCGCTTTAAGGGTCCAACTTGGTACGAAGGAAGCAACTGTGAAGTTTCAGGTGGTCCATGACAATTTTCCGATAGTGGAAGCAGGAATCTTGGGCGCACCGTTCTTCAGAGAAAATGGTATTAATATCAACTTCAGAACCTCTACTCTGTCAACAGAACATACAGAAAATCCAGAGTCTCCAGAATCTCCAGATTTGACAAAAACCCTAGTCATCCAACCACGATCGGAAACGCTGGTGCCCATCATGACAGACAAGGCAGATGACATAACTCTAATATTTCATGCACAGACCATCGGGGAGGAGAGAGTATTACTATTAGGGAATGTCGTTAACTCCGTTCGCGATGGTCAGATATTGGTTCCCGTGGTGAATCCCTCAGGGAATTCCATCGAATTCCTCCCAAAGTGCAATATGACCTCTTTGAAGGGGCAAGAGTACACCTCTGTTCTGAATCAGCGGAGCAGTCAAATAAGGAAAATCGGATGAAGAAGCTCGCACAGGTTATCCAAACAGATCATCTTAACCATGAGGAGCGGGCCAGTCTATGGGGAGTATGCAAGAAATATCAGGACTTATTCCACCTCGAAGGAGATGCTCTCCCATTCACTACAGCAATCCAACATGACATCAAGACGCAAGCGGGAGCAGCTCCAGTGAATATCAGACCGTATAGACTTCCATACGCCCATAGAAAAGTTATAGTAGAGCAGATGGAAAAATTGGAAGAAGACGGAATCATCCAGCCTTCAGAATCTCCATGGAACGCACCTTTAGTGGTAGTCCCAAAGAAACCCGATGCTAGTGGAAATCCACAATTCAGAGTTTGCGTAGACTTTCGTCGGCTCAACCAGCTAACCATCGGAGATGCGTTTCCAATTCCTCGAATTGACGAGATCTTAGATCAGCTAGGACGCTCCAGATATTACACTACGTTGGACCTCGCCAGCGGGTACCATCAAGTCCCGATTCGTCCGCAGGATCGTGAGAAGACCGGATTTTCCACTGACAAGGGCCACTTCGAGTTCATCCGAATGCCCTTTGGATTAAGCGGAGCACCTAGTACGTTCCAACGTCTGATGAACAATGCATTAACAGGCCTCAACGGCATCAAAGCGTTTGTGTACCTAGACGACATAATCATCTATTCAGCGGATCTTACAGAACATGAGAGCAGATTGGAAGAAGTATTTCAGCGACTTCGGAAATTCAGCCTCCAACTCCAGCCAAGCAAATGTCAATTCCTCAGACGTGAAGTAGTTTACCTTGGGCATCTGATAACGGACACTGGTGTAAAACCAGATCCGGCGAAAATCAGTTGTGTTCGAGATCATCCGGTACCAAGGAACCCAACTGAGATAAAGCAATTTCTCGGACTCTCTGGGTATTATAGAAGGTTCATAGAAAAATACAGCCAGATAGCCAAGCCGTTAACAACATTATTAAAGAAGGGACAACCTTTTGAGTGGACTGCAGAATGCCAGGCAGCATTTGAGACGCTCATCCAGAAGCTCATTCAAGCTCCAATACTTCAGTACCCCAACTTCGAGGAACCATTTATTTTGACAACCGATGCGAGTCAGTATGCAATTGGGAGTGTCATTTCTCAAGGCCAGGAAATAGGGCAAGATCTACCTATTGCATATGCATCACGTACGCTAAACAAGGCGGAGCAAAACTACAGTACCACGGAAAAGGAACTGCTAAGCATTGTATGGTCAGTCAAGCACTTTAGACCATACCTACTGGGCAGACAGTTTAAGATTTACACAGACCATCAGCCACTTACGTGGCTATTTAATGTTAAGGATCCTGGATCCAGGCTCATGCGGTGGAGAATCAAATTGTCAGAATATCAGTACGAAGTGGTCTATAAACCCGGTGCCGCAAACACAAATGCAGATGCACTCAGCCGTATGGGGCGAATCATGATGAACAGAACATTGAACCCAGTTACCCGAGTTAGTTATGATACCTACTTGCAACTAATAAAAGGCAAGTCAATAGTCAATAATAGGGTAAAAGAGGAATCGGGAGATTTATTCGACGCACCATCAGACTACAGCCTCGCACATTGCATATCCCAGGACGTGAAAATGAGCCAGGGCACGGCCCTCATGTTTCGCAGGAAATTTGGCAATGTGGAGATTTTAAAAAGTCAACACCCCAGAGTCCATGAAGTGTTGTACATTCGTCAAGAAAATCGATACATCCTGTATATGGTAACGAAACCAAAATATTGGCAAAAACCATCTTTGGAGGATATGTTCCTGACTTAACAGAGCCTCAAATCGGTATGCATCGAGCTCGATATTGACAAACTAGCCATGCCCCGTATTGGCAGTGGGATAGACCAACTTGATTGGTCTGCCATCCGGACCATGATTCGGTTTGTATTTAAGGAGATAGATATCAAAATCCATGTTTATTCTCTAACAGAGTTAACACACGCGGAAAAACTAGAGATCATCGCAGAGCATCATTCCAGCCTTCTAGGAGGACACCGCGGTATAAACCAAACCGTAAAGCGCATTCAAACACAATTTAACTGGGAAGGATTGGAAGATAATGTGAAGGAATATGTGTCCAAATGTCCATCATGCCAGATAAACAAAACGTGTAACAAGAACGTCAGGCAACCAATGGTCATAAGTACCACGGCCACCGAACCTTTCGAGAAGGTATTTATCGACGTGGTCGGGCCCTTACCGAGAACACATAGCAATAATGCCTACATCTTAACAATGCAGTGTGACCTCACGAAATTCTCCATGGCTAGTCCAATGGAAAATCATGAAGCCAACACTGTGGCGTATCATTTCGTAACCTCTTGTGTATGTCTCCATGGAATACCAAACATGCTGGTTAGTGATCAAGGCACAGAGTTTTTAAGCAAGATCTTAGCCGAGACATGCAAACTGCTGAAAATAAAAAAATGCAATACATCCCCTTACCATCCGCAAGCTAATGGAGCTCTTGAAAGAAGCCATAGAACTTTAGGGGAATATCTGCGACATTTCGTTGACAAAGATCAAACAAATTGGGATACGTTCATTCCATATGCCATGTTCGTATTCAATTCCTCAGAACATCGTTCCACAGGGAAACAACCCTATGAACTATTGTATGGTCGCACTGTGACAATGCCAAACTCGTTCACAAAACCCCCAGAACCTCGATACAATTATGAAGATTTCCATGTAGAATTGAAGCAGAAACTCCAAGTGGCACATCAAATAGCCCGCGATCGTCTGTTGGAACACAAACAGAAGACAAAAGAGACTTACGATCAGAATCAGAATCAGATCATCATTCACGTGGGAGATCGTGTACTCCTTAAAGACAACGCTCGAAAAGGGAAACTTAGTCCTAAATGGTTGGGACCTTATGAGGTGATCGAGCTTAAAGCAAATGAAAATGTAACATTGCAAAAGGATAGAAGGAGGGTGACAGTACATAAAAATCTTATCCGTCCTTTTGTGGACTGATCATTGTAAATACGTGATAAAAATTAACATTAAGTTAACAATGCTAAAACTAACCTAGATGTAAGAAATGTGGTGCTGTACATAAATCTTTGAGGGGAAGAGAAATTTTATATTAACAATAACGAATATCGTTGCAGAGCTTTCATTCAATTCAGTGTGCTTAGCACTGGGCAAATAGAAAACAAATCAGAACGGCAATTAGAGGCAGTCAATAAGGTTTATAACATCACGTCGTTTCCTAACCATCAGGGGTTATATTTCGAACACCATGGTCCAGTAAAAGTGACTCGCCTCAGTTGGGATCTAGTAGCTTATATTGACCTAGCAACTCCAACTTCTAGATTTTCGGTAATAAAGTCACGGTATGCAGATACCGTGGAGATCTGTAAGCAGGTGACCGAGCGATTCTTAGAGTTATCGCCCACCTGCGATCAGTTCGTTCAGACGTTTGCCCGTGCAACGTTGCCTTACATGTATGAAATTGAGGCCAATCATCGCAACATGATGGTATCAATTGGCTACAATTCTTCAGAGGGGGAAAGAACGCGTCGAGGATTAGGCAGCAAAATTCAACGCATGACGAATTTTCTATATGGTATATATTCAAAGATCGATACGGAGTTTATTTTCGATAAAATCTTGGCATTAAGCGAGAGCAAAATCAAGGATTTAAACTTAATTCCGGAAAGGACTAGGATCGTTCAGGCAGAAACAGAAAATCAAATGAAACAACTGTCTAAACACCAGCAGAAACTCGAGGAAAACTGTCAGTTTTTACAAGAACAAGCGAAGCAGATCATCCAGAAGCTCAATAAGGTAGAATTCAGGTCAAGGTTACTGGAACAATCGTTCCTGTTTGAGGTTATATTAAATCAATATGCCTACGAAACCCAAAATCTAATGTCCATAGTTAACTCTGCCCTGGATGGCAAGATTCACACCAGTGTTTTCACTTCGAGCAAACTACTCACAGAATTAAGGGAAATAAAAATGAATCTTCCAGTAGGAACCTCCCTCCCGTTAGTAGTAAACACCGAATCTCTAACAGAGCTTATTCGAATCTCGGAAATAGCAATTTTCCATAGAGACGATCATTTAGTATTTGCCATAGGTATTCCTCTGATAAGTAACGAAGGATATACCATGTATCGCCCCGTTTCTCTGCCCATTCCGTACAACAAAAATACAGTAATTTTAATTGACCCTGAAGTCGACTACCTTGCTTTAAGTAATAATAATGAACATTTTTTTGTATTAGAATTAAGTCAATGGGAACTATGTATTAGGCTAGAATTATACACTCTTTGTAAGGGTGATCAACCAATACACCGCCGAACGGGATCTAGCTTGTGTGAAATTTCACGGTTGTCTAACTCGCAAAATACATTAGGAAATTGTAAAATTAAATTTGTAACATTAGACACACCCATTTGGAATCGATTGTCAAAAACCAATTCTTGGTTGTACTATGCACAACCACACACGTGTACGATTACCTGTTTAGAACATCTACAAAGCTATACCGTGGAGATCTCGGGCGTGGGTAGGTTGACCACCTCATTGTCATGTGAAATTTTTACGGAAAATTCTGTACTCGAACCGTTAAATAAAAATGTTAGAAATGTACAAGCAGACGTAATCCCAGAAAATCCAAAGGTCAGTGTAATCTCTCTGTTAGCAGAGATTCTACCATCTGTGTTACCCCAAAATGTTTCAAACTTAAGCCCAATAAAAAATCTAAACTCTTTAGCACATAAAGCAATCGAAATAAATAACCTCCAACGTAAGTCATTGGAGCCTCTATTTATATTCAAAGTCGAATTTCACTTTACAGTTATGTACATATCCATATTACTCATAACTCTAACCATAAGTATAGTCGTTGTTAAGTTTAAGAACCAGGTCATAAAAATGTATAGTCCAGAGGTAGCGGACAATATTCCAAACAATGAACAAGTTAACCCTTAAGTTTGTATAAAAAAAAATTGTATTGCCCTAAGTGTAGAATAAATTAAGTTTAAGCATTATAGACACCATGTGGCGGTATTGTAACTAGGTGTACCCGTAGTGTAAGAAATTTATGGAGTAGTAAATAAGGTCGCAGGGACTGCTCCAGTTTAACGCTGGGGGTATGTTGTAAACGGGTAACATGATAAGTATGAATGGGTTGACTCAGTCTAGTGGCGAGTAGTGCGTGTATGAGAACTGTCTGGTTCTCACGGACGCCTACGCGACGCCTACGAGACGCTGAGCGAACACATTCCGAAAGGCTCGGGACAGACCATGGGGCCAGCCCCGCCAGCTAGAGTCAGTCGAGTCTGGTCAAAAGAGTGAGTAACACACGTGTTACTAAGCAGAGCATCCTTTATAGTTTATTACAGAGCCTCATATAATTTTTATCAGAACCTCTCATAATAATAGTTTTTTTATTATATATATCAGTTCTTCAATATTTAATTTATTAAATCAGTAATAGTTTTATCATTATATACATTAATTCTTTAGTGTTCAATACAATAAATCGGTAATCTTATTTATAAGCAAACTGTGTGTTATTTTATTTGATGCCAACACCTACGGTTTTACATCATTCGACGGTGGACCACACTTCACAACTTGAAACTCCAAAAACCTAACTTTGTACCGTGCTTTTTACACAATATGTCTAATTACGATGCACATTTTATCGTGACCGAACTCGGAAATGACACTAAATCAATCTCAGTGATTCCGAACAGCGAAGAAAAATACATTTCATTTTCAAAACACGTTACCAACAACTTTTCAATTCGATTCATAGACTCTAGTCGATTCATGGCATCAAAGTTATCAACACTCGCTGAAAATTTATTAACACCAGGGTTCGAGAAGTTTAAAGAAACCTCAAAAGCATTCATACCCAGAGATATGAATCTCGTCACACGTAAGGGTGTATAGGTACCCTTACTGTTGTGTTGGCGACACTGATTGTTCTGTAATAACTAAAAACGTGCCATCATTATGATAAAAAGTTCATTTAATTATAAATTATAAATCATTATAATAAAAGTTCTGACTCAGACATATTGTTTTGTGTTAAAATACTTGAGACACAAAAGTGGCGACGAAGATGGGATATTGAGAAGTGTAATTAATATCAAATTTACACGGATCAAAACGGGAAAAAAAATGGCTAAAATTGGTAATATAGAAGAATTCAAATTACAGCAAGAAGAAGATTTCGAAACCTGGGTAGAACGACTAGAACTCTATATGCTGGTGAATAAAATAAAAGAAAATAAAGCAGCTATATTTTTAACCTTAATTGGAAGTGAAGGTTATAAAGTACTTAAATCTCTTTGTACTCCAGAACTACCTAAAGATGTCGAGTATGAAAAGCTAGTAAGTAATATGAAAGATTACTTACAACCGAAAGTTTCGATTCTTGCTGAACGTTCCAAATTCCGTAATTGTCTACAAGAAAACAATGAAACGATCACTGAATTTATGACAAAACTACAAAAATTATCCATATTGTGTGGTTTTGGAAATAACTTGGAGGAAGCATTACGTGATCAAATAGTTCATGGTGTAAGCGACCGTATGCTTAAAAAGAAACTATGTGAAGAACCGAATTTGACTTATGGAAGAACTAAAGAAATATGTCAAGCACACGAGGGCGCAGAGAAAAGTCTGGAGAATTTTCAACAGGCTACCAAAGGAGATCTCAACTTCATAAAAAAGAAGGCATCAAACAAATGGAAGGAGCCAAATTGGAAAAATGGGAAGAATGGTGACAATGCTGACGGCAC